GGATGGGGTTGACAGGCACCATTAATTTGTGAGCATTAGCAAAATAAGATGTCGTTGCAGAAAAGCATAATTGGATCATCTTTGTATTTTATGCTAGCATGCCCGAGGAATGCTAAAGGAGCAGAATGTGTACAACAACACTTCTTTGACAGCAATATAGTCACTGTTGGAGGCCTGGGAAATAATGGCCAACTTCACTTTTCATTGTCACTCTAGCATTCCACCTTTCCTAGGCACCATTCATTAGTCAAGAAAGGCTGCCTGGCAGCTTAATGGACTAATCTGCTATAATATTCATTAATTTTATAATCACAATTCCATTAGGAAAACACAGAAATTTTAGTTTCTCTGCACTTCAGAAATCACACATATTTTTAGGCTACAGTCCTAAATCTATTTACACTGGAACAATCTCCAATGATTTCAATTAAATTTACTTCCATGTATGCATGTATAAAATTGTTTCCCCATTATTCCATAGTAACTTTCTAACTAGCTGCCTCAGTGGGTTGGGGGTCACCCAGTAGGGTAACTCATGGTGTCACACACACACACCCCATACCATATCATACAGAATCCATAGTAATTTTTTTTTTGTACTAATGTACTCATGAATTGTAATTCAGTATATCACTGAATGTAATGGCATAAACAACTAGCAAAATTAAAATTATATCTTTAAATTACAATATCATACACACAGCCTAAATGTATTTACATGTACATAGTTTCATGTGGTTACAGTGAAAATTTGATAAGGTGTGAACCAAAAACCTGACATAGGGTTTTCTTGACAGAATTTGTTCAGAGGGGTTTGCCATTGCCATCCTCTTTAATCCTACACAAGAGTACAAGAGTCAGGATGGTGTAGTGGTGTGAGCGTTGGACTATGACTCTGGAGACCAGGGTTTGAACCTCCATTCAGCCATGGAAACCCACTGGGTGACCTTGGGCAAGTCACACTCTTTCCATCTCAGAGGAAAGCAAAGGCAAATCCCCTCTGAACAAATCTTGCTAAGAAAACCCTGTGATAGGGTTGCCATAAGTTGGAATCGACTTGATCTTACACAGCAATGGACAATATCACAATGCACTGGTATAGCACTATTCCATTTGAATTGTTATGGCTGCTTCCTGTGGCATTCTGGGGTTTGTAGTTTGGTGAGGCCCAAGAGCTCTCTGGCTGAGAATTCTAAATGCCCCTCCTAAACTGCAAATCCCAGAATTCCACAGAAAGTAGTCATAGCACTTAATGTAAAATAATAGTTGTATATAGTGTAGCATACTGTTGTCCTACAACAATCCGACACACATTTACTTGGTAGTGAGCCTTTGTGGACAGAACAGAACTCGGTTTGAATATCTGGATACAGAGATGTTCTGCACAAGATGTAAATGAAGCTTTTCTAGCTTGCTGACCTACAGAGGTGTTGGAGGCCAATGTTGCTTCAGGATCATGGGGAGTTGCTGAGAGGAGGCTGATCTTTTCCTGTGGCAATTTCCTTGTGCAATAATAAGCATGAGATGTGAAGTAATGGCAAAACAACAACAATAGCAACAACCCCTCTATAAGGGGGCATTTTGATGCAGTTTTAGAGTGTACCTTTAAAAGCATGGTAAAAAGCCTCAGTGTTGGGAAATTTTCACCCTGGGTGATCTATGCTTTTTTTCAAGGTAGGGATTTTTCCCATTAGCTCATTTGTCATATACTGTAAATATGACAAATAGTGGTACAGTCAGAAATCCTGCAAATGTCCAAAGGCCTCATGTCATTCTTGGTAATAGATTCCTTACACACTTTCCCAGCAAGATCATTATTCAGGATTGCATAGCTTCCAGAGTTGCCTATTTCTTTGGCAGTGATGACCAGATTGAGACATCCCATTATCACTTTATCTTACTGAATAAAGTTGAGGATGGGGTAGCGATTAGGAGGACTTAAGCAAGTTATACCTATTTTATGAATCTGATTTCAATTGAATTTAGTTGCTAACCATTAGCTCATTTTCTCCTGATAGTAACTACCCCTTATACAAGAGTATTCAGATATGCACAGATATATTTAGAAATATACTTGGAGAAGTTGCCATGGCAGTCCCAAAGAAAGGAGAAGGAATTGTAAATTGTTTAGATGGTAGTTTTTAAGGAATCTGCAAGTGGAACAGTAAAGTTTGCAATTGGCCATGCCATTGGGGATGATTGGAGATGTAGTACAGTATATCACTTTTGATATGTCTTTGTTGGTTAACCGTTCCTTCCAGGATTCAGTGCAAGCATCTTGTTTTAACTTTCAAAGTTCTACATGACTTAGGTCCTTCCTATCTTTCAGCCTCCCCTTTTTACCAACCTGCTGGAGATCTATGTTCTAGGACCATGTTGGTGAATCTATGGCATGTTTGCCAGAAGTGGCATGCTGCCAGGTTTGTGTGGGCATGGCAAGTCACGCCACTCATGATTGGGCTTCTGGGGACTGTAGTTGTTACTGTGTGCCTTCAAGTTGTTTCCAAGTTATGGCGACCTTAAAGCAAACTTATCATGGCATGGGGGTTCTTGGCAAGGTTTGTTCAGATGAGGTTTGTGGCAGTGGCAGT